TGGATTAAATCTTTTCTTTGATCTTCAAGGTCATCAAGGCTCATTTTCTCTGTAACTTTCGTGATGAATCTATTACCAAAATATTGTCATTTTCGAACAAAAATATTGATTTATCGCACTTTTCAACTTATTTATCGATTTACTGAAGTTTTTGAGAGCGAAATTGTTTAATTCCGCTTTCAACACAATTTCGCTTTGAAAGCGGAATTAACAATTTCGCTTTCAACAAATGATACAACAAAGAGAGAAAAAAATATTTTTGTAAGTATTAAAAGTATTCTTCATCGAAATTTTTATTTGAAAATGACGGTATTTTAATACTGGATTCCAACAGATATTTATATCCATTGTTTTACTGTAACTTCTTTAAGTAATTTGTTTCACTGTTTTCCACTCACATTACTTCATTGGAATATGTTTTGTACTCACAACTCTGTTCAAATGTCAAAAGGTGAAGTACTTTGTTTTCTTTAATGTTTTATACTCATGTTTTGTCCCATTTTATGAGGGTGGCTCATGCTGCAATCGTATTGTTGATCTTTTGTAAATTCATCGTCAAATGTCCGAGTTGTGAAAATATTTTTATTTAATGTTTAAATAATGTTGTGTATATTTAATCATTTTTAGATTTCACAATAATAAAATAAGAGTCTTATGTACTAAATCGATCTACTTCTATATATATACATTATAAAGTTGATGTTGGCGGCCATTATAATAATCAAGGTAATGTATTAGAATCAATGTGAAATTGTATTAGCATATTACTCTTCCTTGGAATTTTTGTTATATTATTTTTGTATTATAATAATATGTTATGTTCAAATTTCATCCAAACAGAATTGTTTTTCGATATAAAAACTCCAATTGGAATCTCCAAACGCTTTAATTTTCATAAATAATATTCAAATTTGTTAATAATCGAAAATTTGGTTCCTTTCAAATGGATTTTGGTCCTTTTATGATAAACCTCCTCCTCCTTGTATTTGGGGTTACTAGGGGTATCAAAATATGATATGATCTATTAACATGACATGACATAAAATTTAAGAGTTTGAGTATTCTTTAAACCACTAGTTTCTTAAACAAGTAGACTCGATATGATATGATTAATAAACGAATTGAGTATGGATAAACCCAATCAAACAAAATAAATGACTCTTTTATGTATCGGTTATACATAATTCATATACGATATAACTTCATATAACGCGAGTCATTAAACACGAATTAATAAACAAATCGGGTATGTATTTTTTAATACGAGTTAATGGTAACTGCATAAATTTGAATGTTAATTTGGTGTTAAATTAATGAAATTACATTAATTTAATAAGGTTAAATGTTAAATTAATGAAATTAAATATTCCATTTAATATAATTAAATTTTAATTTGATAAAATTGAATGTCAAATTTGTGTTAATTTAATGAAATTAAATAGTAATTTAGTGTTAAATTAAAGAAATAATATTAATTTGATGAAATAAAATATTAAATTAATGTAACTAAATGTTGATTTCATAAAATCAAATATTAATTTTGTGTTGATTTAATGTGATCGATTGTTAATTTAGTTTAAATTAAAGAAAAGTTATTAATTTGATAAAATTAATTATTAAATTAATGAACCTGAAGATTAATATAATAGAATTTAAAAGAAGCTTAGTGAAAGTTTAGAATGGAGAAATTTTTTTTATTGAAGTTAGGCCTATTTATAAAAAAAAGTGAATGAAATTTACTTAACAAAATACTAAAAAATATTTCAATGTGAATAAAATTTTAAAATCGGAGGTACCCTTGAATTTAAACCTAATTACGGCTGATAGAATTAAATTAGAAAATTTGGAGGCTGATTCTCTTATATGAACTTATTTGGAGATAATTCTGTCAAGGAAATTTTTTAGTTTTAAGTCTGTTTTTTGTCAATTTCACTATTGTAACCCTTTTCTCTATGAATGTTATAAACAATGTTTTTGGACACAATAATCAGCCATATACATCTCCTTCATAATTGCCTTCAAATCCAGCTACAATCTTCCAAGTCATAATGTTTCCTTATCCAAAAAATAAGAAACCGACATTTACAAAAATTGTTCATATTCAAATTTCAAACCCATTACATTCCATAAAATACAATTTCAATTTACTATTTCAGTTTACTTTAGACTCCATTAAAAAAATATTAATATTTAAAAATAACAATAGTAACATAATCACTAAAAATATAGTAACATGCTTACAAAAAAATAGTAACATGGTAAAAAAGTAATAATAACTAGGGATTTAATTATGTCAAAGTGGACATTAACCTTGTAACCAAGATTCAAGAGAACTCATATATTTGTAGTAAATTAAAGTGTTATTGATTTCGATTTTGTTGATTTTTTTGTTGCAAAAAATAATCAAATATTCTTTGGTGGTGTTATTGTGAAGAAAGTTCATGTTACTGTACGTGAACCAAAAGATAGAGGTCAGAATTTCGATGTCTTGATGTTCACAATTGATGTTGAGTGTCGTAATTCAATTGTTGATTGTGTGTTACTACTCGTCATTTTGTAAATTTTTAATTTGTAGATCGTATTTTCACTAAAATCATTCGAAAGTTGATGTTACTGTAAAAAAATTATTGTTTTGTTTTTTTATAAAATTAGATGTGTTACTGAGCACAAAACTTTGATGTTACTGTGAATATTAAAATGTATGTTGCATAATATACGTTTCAAGATTTGTAATTGTAGGTTAAAATTCACTACAGTAACATTAGTGTCAGTATAGTAACACGACTGTATTGGTAATATGACCTTAATTGTAACTTCAATCATATAGTAACACGAATGTTACTATATATTAACATTTGTATCACTGAACTTTGTTGGTATTGTTCTGCCTCCCTATATTATACATTACTGTTGTTAAGGAAATTTTGTAATTTGATTTTGACTTAATAGACTAATAATTTATTAGTACATTAAGTTTCCCATATATAACTTTCAAAATATATAACTTTCAAATAAAACTTCCGTTAATTATCATAATATTTAATAAACGGTTTTCATATACAACTCAATCAAGGTTTTCATATATACCTTAATGATCTAACGTATGTGATTTTCTATAACTGGACAAAACTAACACCGTTAGGGGAAATTTTGAAATTTAAAAAATAAGTGGACTTAAGTACCTACATATAAGTTTAAACATGGACTTACCCCCCAATAAGTTTCTTTTCATGACTCAAGTCATTATAAGTCTATCTAGGGAGACTCACCCTCAATTTTCACAATTAAATTTAAGCTAAGCGGACAAGCCGGTGGTAGTCTGGATGTAAGTCTCGAGCCGGCCCAACGCTTCTCCATTGTGGGTTAGTGTTACAAATTCCAACCCACGTAGCTCAGGAACCACCGTTTCTGCGCTTAATTTAATATATATGGTTCTAATCTACATAATTCGATCGATATGGGACAAAGACAAATAATGCACTTGATTATCTTAACTCTCACCCTTTTGTCTCTCTTTTTCAAGTGTTGAAAGCAAACCCAGAAAAATGTCAGTCTCATAATCATCTTCATTCCCATGTATCAAACTCCCAATCCATTACCACCTTCACCTTTTTCCTCGATTTCTTCTTCTTCTTCTTCTTCTTCATCAATACAGTCCAAAACCTCTAAATTCTCCACAACTAAGCCTTCTTCAATGCTTCGTATTCGTATTCACAGACGAAGGGGCCTTTGAGAAGATCAGTGGCTCTAGCTCCTCCAAAACCAGTCGCACCTTCACCTCCATCGTCGGCCTCTTCGCCCACAACTGAAGCCTGTGGTGTTGGTGGATGATAAGTGTACGCGATGATTTTGGCACAATGAACAAATTGACAGATTGTTTCCCCAATAAACTTGAATTCGCTTAGAAATTCGGATGTTCCACAACAAATGGATGTTGAGAAGTTGCAATGAATGGTGATGAAGCTCCTTACAAATTGTTTGCTCAATTGTAAGTTATCGAACTTGGTCCAATCATTCAAAATGAAGGGTTAAAAGGGCATTGAAGTGTTTTTCGGCGTGACCCCTTCGACAATTAAGTCAGTATGTGAGAGAAAGTTGGAAAAACACTGTTCTATTGCTTTGGTGAGATTTTGTGTGCCTTAGACTTGGTTTTTAGAATGTTATTTATACCTCCCTGAAGTCAATCATTGCGAATAGCTAGGTCCCTTAGAGGGAAGACTGCTCACTGGCTCATTTGGAAGACAGCATGTGGTGCATAGTTCTCGAGCAGCGAGACCTTCTTTGACGTGGTAAAAGTTTCTACATTTAACGCTGGATCTTTGGACATTTAATGTTTGCTTTTTTGAACTTGTCAAGCAATAAATATGTCCAATCCTTCGGTTGGGTCATTTAATGTGGCCTGATTTTGGCTACACATGCTTAAGGGCATTTTCGCCCATTACTCTCAAGGGGCTAACATTTCAAAACTCTATACTTCGTACACCCTGATTATTGGTTACTGGATTGTCTTCCTTACCATTCTGACAATCTTAGAAAGGGGAATTGATAATTGATAGTCAATTATGCTTCCAAGTGATAATGCTATTCTTGACCTCGTTTACTGGCATGCTTGCATCAGCTAACTTCCTCTCCTTTTCCTTGGGAACTTAGCCATTTGGTAAGGGCTAGCTATTAGGACGACCGTGAACACCTCACCAACGTGGAGGGCTAAACGCCAAGAACACGTGTTGAGCAATTGGGTCTCCGGAGATCCCTGTGCTCAAGACACGTGTCAAGCAACTGGGACTCTGAAGAGCTAGGTGTCAAGGACACGTGTCAAACAGGGAATACTCTAGGGGACCTAAACGCCAAGGACACGTGTGAACCAGGCAACATCTCGGGAGTCATGTAGGCCGAGGACACGTGTTTCACCCCATGGAGGATCCAAGACCGCCACGCCGACGATACGTGTCGCCACCCCCAACAATTTTCGAATATGTCCCATCAATTAGAATGTAATAATGATGGGGTTTCAAAGGCGAAAGGCTAAGGAGCTCCAAGAGTACTTTAAACAAAAGAAGCTTGAGGAAGCTGATCAGGGTCCTTTCTTTGGATCATTGCTAAGAATGAAATTTCCAATGGCAGGTAAAAAAGAATTAGTCATTACTAGTACCTCCTTGTTTTGTAGTGAATTATAGTGTTTAGCAGTTTGATCTTTGTGGAAGGAGTAGGTTTGCTGATTTGTTTTAGTTGATTCTTGAGTATGATCAGATTGATTTTGATGTTGGGTTTAACAAGGATTGTGCATTTATGGTTTGGAATTGAAAATTTGGGGAGTCAAATAGGGCAGAACAGAACAAAAAATGTGACTGAAATACAATGAAGGCTCGTCATCAACACTTAAATAACATCTTTAAGTGTGAATTTTAGTATTTAGCTGCTTGGCATTTGAGAAGATAAGACTATATACATTAGACCATCCTTATAGTGGGAGCGTCATGCACTAGACAGCTATGTGTAGCTGTGGGGGAAGGAAACAGGTGTTGATTGGCTTTACTAACTTGGTGATTTTGGGTTTGGCTAGGACTCTTTGAAGTTGTGGTTTGAAATTAATAGTCACTATGACAGAATTGAACGAAAATCAGACTGAGTTGTGTATTTTTTTGGAAGACATACAAGAAAGGCTGTGTGTGATTTACTAGAGCTCAAAGTTTTCGAGTCGCAAAATAGTCTCATCGCATGCTGGATTGAGTTTGCATCCACTTGACCCATCACACAATGGCAAAAATTTCGTGTACTAGGCCACCGGACTCCACTTGAACACTGCAAAGCTGTATGTTATCCTTGTCCGCCATTATTTGTGTAGAACTAGCACTTCGATGGCATATGACGCTGGTAACCAAGTTTTTATTACAAGCTATTACAAAAAAAAAAAAAAAAATTATTCGAATCAAATCAATTTTGTTTAGATCAAAATTTTGATTGTTAATAGATTCAGATATGAACCATAAATATTAAATCCGTCAAATAATCGGATCAAAGTTTAAAAACTAGGTTTAAATATTGATAAATTAAAATTGGATCCGTTTATGCATAAGGGACTTTGGGCCGTTGATGCCCACAACTGTGATCATTGGAGTAGAGTGAGTTTTAGCATATTATATGGGGTATTTCGTATTTACAACTAAAATCTAAATTAAATCTATTAGAATGAATTGGTTAATTATTTTTATCGCATTTTGCACCCTGTAATATATTTGAATTCTCAAATTGCACCTTTAAGTTTTTTTATTTTCAATTTTCACCATCGATGCTATAAAAAAGTTTTAATGTGATCCAAATTTTGAACTATCATTCACTTTTTCATTTGATGATGGTGGCCTCTACATTATGTTTCAAAAAAGTGCAGTTAGGGTTTGGGGCATATTACAATTTTTTTATGATATTGAGGGTACAAATTAAAATTTTTTAGAGCTAAAATTTAAATTCAAGTATTTTTTGGGTGCAAAGTGTGATTAATAAAAAAAAGGTAAATTAAACTCCAAAAAAGTATGCAATTTTCTAAACTTCTCTATTCATGCACATGTATCCTCGTAGATTCTACATTTCATCTCTGTGGAGGAAGCTAAGAAGCCTTTGAATATGAAAATGGTCATCTATAACGCACAACACAATTATAATATCAATTGCCGGCTTAGGCCGGCCACCTTGTCATCTTCTTCTTCAATCTTCTTTCTCTCTCTCTCTAGCACCCTTACCATTAGCCTGCATTTGTTTCCTCTGTCTTCACCACATTTCTTCTTTTCCTCCTCCACCTCCTCGTTTGTTCTTCTTGAGGATATTTTCTTGACTATGCCGCCCTTAAGCCACCACATCCTCTACAATTCAGGAGCTCAAAAGCTTTCAGAAACTACATAGCTATGGGATGTGCTCAGACCAAGCCTTCAATGGATTCACCACCTCGGGGCTTACAGAAGTTGAAGCTGGAAAGTGGGTATGTCAAAGGAGGGTATGATGGACCGAGAAGATCAATAGGTCAGAGGCTTTTGGGTAAGGACCCTGGTAGGTTTTCTCGGCCAGGGATGAGGGATAAGAGTTCTGATAGTGGTGGTGGTGGTGGTAGGGCTAGTGTTGGAAGTAGAGGAAGTCGAGAAGGGAAGCTGATCACTAGGGAGGGACATAGAGAGAAGAGTAGTGGTGGTGGCGGCAGCAGCAGCAGTGGTGGAGGTGGCCGTGGCCGCAGTGGTGGTGGTGACAGAAGCGGTGGAGGTGGAGACAGAGATGAAGGCAAAGTTTCTCAGAGATTAAAGTCCTCTAAGGCAGGTGAAGAGGATGAGCTGGTGGATGGGTGGCCAAAGTGGCTCACTGATAACATTCCTAGAGATGCTCTGGATGGTTTAGTTCCAAAGAGTGCAGAGTCTTATGATAAGCTTGATAAGGTGACCCTCTTCTTCCTTTTTTTTTTGTTATTTTTAAAATTTATCATTTAGGCATTTGGCTCCATGATTATAAAGAATAATAGGATGCAATTTTATTGGATTGATTAATGCGTTAGGAATTACCAAAATTTCTATTGTGTACGTTCACAAAACAGTTAGGATTTGTGATTTGTTGGAGGCTTATCTGATCGAATGAGCATACTTGTTGATATTGGTTTTGATGAAGGTTCGCTTCGTTAAAACTGAATTGCTTTCGCAAACGAATACTGAAATTCCTATGTTTGGAGTTGTCTTGATATATTTTAGGATATTTCATAAATATGTTGTCAAACTTTTTCTGTTCTATTTTGTTTACAAAGCATTTTCAAAAAGATTTGTTTCCAAGCTNTCGAATGAGCATACTTGTTGATATTGGTTTTGATGAAGGTTCGCTTCGTTAAAACTGAATTGCTTTCGCAAACGAATACTAAAATTCCTATGTTTGGAGATGTCTTGATATATTTTAGGATATTTCATAAATATGTTGTCAAACTTTTTCTGTTCTATTTTGTTTACAAAGCATTTTCAAAAAGATTTGTTTCCGAGCTGACTGAAACTACGAACAAAATCAATTTTTTTATACTTAGAGTTTGATTTGTAATTCCAAAGCATTTTGCCTCTCATATTCCATCTTGTCACCTATACTTCTCTCTATATAATGTATATATGTAGTTGGTTGAAGTTTTATTTAGTTAAGAATACCTGAATTTTGAAATTGACTTGATGCAAGCCTTTGATTCACAGGTANCAAGCTGACTGAAACTACGAACAGAATCAATTTTTTTATACTTAGAGTTTGATTTGTAATTCCAAAGCATTTTGCCTCTCATATTCCATCTTATCACCTATACTTCTCTCTATATAATGTATATATGTATTTGGTTGAAGTTTTATTTTGTTAAGAATACCTGAATTTTGAAATTGACTTGATGCAAGCCTTTGATTCACAGGTAGGCCAGGGAACTTATAGCAATGTGTATAAAGCTCGAGACAGGGCCACTGGAAAGATTGTTGCTCTAAAAAAGGTTCGTTTTGACACATCAGAACCCGAAAGTGTGAAATTTATGGCACGAGAGATTAGGATCCTCCGGAAGCTAGATCATCCCAATATTGTAAAGCTTGAAGGCTTGGCTACATCAAGAATGCTATACAGTCTATATCTAGTTTTTGACTACATGCAGTCCGATTTGGCCAAAATTATTTCTAGGCCTGATCAGAGGCTTACTGAACCACAGGTTGAGATTTTGTCAGTTCTTACTCTCAATTTCCATTCATGTAGCCAACTCCAAATTGTTTCCATAAACGCTTTGTTGAGTTGAGTTGAAATATCCTAGTTTATTTGCTGCTAGTTTGAAATGTTGATATATGCAGGTTAAGTGTTACATGAATCAATTGCTCTCGGGTCTGCAGCACTGCCATGAGAGGGGGCTTTTGCACAGAGACATCAAGGGATCGAATCTGCTGATTGATAAAAATGGGATGCTAAAGATTGCAGATTTTGGGTTGGCAAATTTTTTCAATCCTGAGAAAAAAAGGCCTCTCACGAGTCGAGTTGTGACTCTTTGGTATAGAGCACCAGAGCTGTTGTTAGGTGCTACTGATTATGGAGTTGGCATTGATCTTTGGAGCGCGGGGTGCCTCATGGCAGAGATGTTTGCTGGGAGGCCAATTATGCCTGCTAGGACAGAGGTAATGGAATGCAATCAAAGGTTTGATTACTTTTGATAACCACTATGTCTAAAATCAAAAGTTCAACAGGTCAAACTCCTAGATTGGTTTGAGAGAAAGTTTGGGTTTTGTTTTCTTTGGAATGCAATTGAAAGCTTTAATTTTGAGACTAATTCTACTTGCTACTTGATCTTTATTGTTCTGGTGTTCGATACTTTGATTTGATGACCTTACCATTTGATTGTTGCCTCCAATAATCGATCTTTCTGTATTCAGGTCGAGCAACTTCACAGGATTTTCAAGCTTTGTGGCACACCTGCAGAAGATTATTGGAAGAAAATTAAGGTGTCAACAACATTCAGACCGCCACAAACGTACAAGCATAGTGTTCGAGAAGCATTCAGGGGCTTCCCTCCATCTTCTTTGGGCCTTCTGAACATTCTTCTTGCTCTGGATCCCGCAAGTCGTGGTTCAGCAGGTTCTGCTCTCCAAAATGAAGTGAGTGCAAATTGAAAGCTTTTTCTAGTGCTCTCCAATATTATTACAACCCATGCTTCTCAGTCATGGCTTCTGTTTTTTTTTTAATGGACTTTTATATGACATCAACAAAACTGTATAGGAATTACAATTCTAAGCATAGTCCTTATAATTCATAAAATCATCAGGGATATTGGATATGGTCATTTTTTGTTATTAAACTCAGTTTTCTTTGTTACATCATATATGCTGAGAAGTTCCAAGTGTCCTGAATTAATTATACTACTGGAATTCATGAGGACTTCTGCCAATAATTTGGCTTTATAGAATGAACCTATGCTAATTTATGATAGTGTGATTGAGAGATGGCAGTCAATCTATATTTTTATTAAATGCGACTAGCTAATCTCCACTTCAGATTACTTTTGTCTAGGAACATAAATCCATTGTGGTTATTTTTAACTTCCACTGAAGTGGAGGTTTATATTTAGTGAAAGCCCAAAATTCAGTTTGTATTCCAAGTGAAAAATATTAATTTTTTACATTTTCTGTCTCATGAATTGGAGGATGTCACGCCTGCACATTGTATTGTTTTCATACCCTGAACTGCATCTTTTTTTGTTTGAATAACAGTTTATTTTTCGTTTGTTTAATGCTAAACACGGTGTGTGGAAAGCTTGCCAACTAGAACACTGCCTCAATAATCTGAAAATCATTTTCTGATTGCAGTTCTTTCATACATGGCCATTGGCGTGCGATCTTTCAGGCCTACCTGTAGTCTACAAAGGGGATGATGAGACAACTCAATCCAATGAGCGCAGAAAGTAAGTTCTCCAGATTTTCCTGATAGACATACATCAGGAATTATACTTTTAAGTAAGAATTTTTTTCCCCTCAGGGTGGGGGTGTGGGGGGGGGGGTTGTTTCCTTGCTTGTCGGTAACTTCAGAGTCAAATCTATAATCTAAGGATTGAGATAGGATTATTACTTCAGAATGGCATTGAACAGGTTTAGATGTCCACATTCACCAGAATTTTAATGTCCAGGTTGCCAAGCGATGGATTTAAATTTTAGTTCCTTGAGTCCCATATTCCATTTCAACTTTGATTCTTTGCATTGAACTACTTAGTTTTTGCTTTGTGACAAATCTGAAAAGTTGTTGGTTACATTTTGTGAACAAAAGCAAGAAACTCTTGGGTGAGTGATGGCTTTAGTTCGCGTTTCTATCCTCTTTTGGCATAACAAATTGTTCGATCTTGAAAAGCGGTTCAAGAACTATGCTGCCTTCGAGCCATGAAAATAAATGTTTAAAAATCTGGTTATACTTGCAATTAAGCAAAATGCCTATGAAACTAAATAACAACTCAGAAAAGACTATGTTCTGTCAATCTCTGATGGTTAGTTTACCTATCTCAGTTTGATTATATAATTCAGTGCATTATTTGATAATCAAGATGCTTCAACAGCAGATCTTATATTTCTTGTTTTCACAAGACAAAAGTTACTTATCCTCTTTGCTACAGGCATAGGCAACACTCTCGAAAACAAAGAGAGCGACGAAGAAAGGATCAAGCTTCCGAGAAACCAAAAGGAGATTCTGCTTCTTCTAAAGAGGTTACATGTCCAAATTCACTCTATAATTTTCTTTTTCGATATTTTCTGGTGGAAAATTTTCTTAGTTTGTACCTCCACCAGCTGACTATATGTGACTTAAGAGATTTAGAGGATCTGTTAAGTGTTAAATCTTGTGCCAATGCAGATTTGAAAAATTTTCAGGTCTAAAATGAGGCAAATAGATGTTTTCTTTGATTTGTTTGCTAGAGTTATTTGCACTACAGGTGGTTAATGCAAACAATTCTTACGGAACCAAACTCAGATTGAAGATGGTGTAACATAGATATATAATGTTATTTTCAGCAGCCAGAAAACGTTGTAGAGCCGATTGCCAAAAGCCAAGAGCCAAGAAGCAGTACAANTGTTTCCTTGCTTGTCGGTAACTTCAGAGTCAAATCTATAATCTAAGGATTGAGATAGGATTATTACTTCAGAATGGCATTGAACAGGTTTAGATGTCCACATTCACCAGAATTTTAATGTCCAGGTTGCCAAGCGATGGATTTAAATTTTAGTTCCTTGAGTCCCATATTCCATTTCAACTTTGATTCTTTGCATTGAACTACTTAGTTTTTGCTTTGTGACAAATCTGAAAAGTTGTTGGTTACATTTTGTGAACAAAAGCAAGAAACTCTTGGGTGAGTGATGGCTTTAGTTCGCGTTTCTATCCTCTTTTGGCATAACAAATTTCAACAAATTGTTCGATCTTGAAAAGCGGTTCAAGAACCATGCTGCCTTCGAGCCATGAAAATAAATGTTTAAAAATCTGGTTATACTTGCAATTAAGCAAAATGCCTATGCAACTAAATAACAACTCAGAAAAGACTATGTTCTGTCAATCTCTGATGGTTAGTTTACCTATCTCAGTTTGATTATATAATTCAGTGCATTATTTGATAATCAAGATGCTTCAACAGCAGATCTTATATTTCTTGTTTTCACAAGACAAAAGTTACTTATCCTCTTTGCTACAGGCATAGGCAACACTCTCGAAAACAAAGAGAGCGACGAAGAAAGGATCAAGCTTCCGAGAAACCAAAAGGAGATTCTGCTTCTTCTAAAGAGGTTACATGTCCAAATTCACTCTATAATTTTCTTTTTCGATATTTTCTGGTGGAAAATTTTCTTAGTTTGTACCTCCACCAGCTGACTATATGTGACTTAAGAGATTTAGAGGATCTGTTAAGTGTTAAATCTTGTGCCAATGCAGATTTGAAAAATTTTCAGGTCTAAAATGAGGCAAATAGATGTTTTCTTTGATTTGTTTGCTAGAGTTATTTGCACTACAGGTGGTTAATGCAAACAATTCTTACGGAACCAAACTCAGATTGAAGATGGTGTAACATAGATATATAATGTTATTTTCAGCAGCCAGAAAACGTTGTAGAGCCGATTGCCAAAAGCCAAGAGCCAAGAAGCAGTACAACTAGTACATCCTCTAGCACGAAGCCAATCCGAGAAGAGAGTTCACCTCCTTTACCCTTCCTGCTTGAATCACCTCCCCAGAAGCTGTCCCCAAGAAGTGAAGCCCATCCAAATGCTACGAAGAACATAAAGAACCTACCTCCATTACCCAATGCCAAAAGAAGCACCATCAACTGCAATGGCACGAACGAAAACATGTACAGATTGAATCAGGTCCAAAGATCTGTCTCCACGAGAGAATTCCGAAAAGTTCATCAAAGAAAGCTTCATAAGCTACCTGATCTGGATGATTAGTCCATGAGAAAATGACTATCTATATAAACAAGAGTTTTCTTCCTTCCAAGTAGTTGGTTGTTGTATGATTATGATTTTGTTCACCATAATTTCTCTCCATTAATTAAAATTAATATTGTGAGTCTCCCATTGAAGAAATCATTTGTAACAGATTTCCATTATTGGTAGTTGAGATTATTTGATTTGTGTGTTGTTTCAAGGGGAAAAAAATATAAAGGGCATTATCAAATCTCCTATTCCTAAATGGTTTCTTTTGGATATCTTGGGGGTGTATGATATTGCTTCTTTTTGAGATTTCAAGCCATGTGTANCGTTTTTTGTTATTAAACTCAGTTTTCTTTGTTACATCATATATGCTGAGAAGTTCTAAGTGTACTGAATTAATTATACTACTGGAATTCATGAGGACTTCTGCCAATAATTTGGCTTTANCATTTTTTGTTATTAAACTCAGTTTTCTTTGTTACATCATATATGCTGAGAAGTTCCAAGTGTCCTGAATTAATTATACTACTGGAATTCATGAGGACTTCTGCCAATAATTTGGCTTTATAGAATGAACCTATGCTAATTTATGATAGTGTGATTGAGAGATGGCAGTCAATCTATATTTTTATTAAATGCAACTAGCTAATCTCCACTTCAGATTACTTTTGTCTAGGAACATAAATCCATTGTGGTTATTTTTAACTTCCACTGAAGTGGAGGTTTATATTTAGTGAAAGCCCAAAATTCAGTTTGTATTCCAAGTGAAAAATATTAATTTTTTACATTTTCTGTCTCATGAATTGGAGGATGTCACGCCTGCACATCGTATTGTTTTCATACCCTGAACTGCATCTTTTTTTGTTTGAATAACAGTTTATTTTTCGTTTGTTTAATGCTAAACACGGTGTGTGGAAAGCTTGCCAACTAGAACACTGCCTCAATAATCTGAAAATCATTTTCTGATTGCAGTTCTTTCATACATGGCCATTGGCGTGCGATCTTTCAGGCCTACCTGTAGTCTACAAAGGGGATGATGAGACAACTCAATCCAATGAGCGCAGAAAGTAAGTTCTCCAGATTTTCCTGATAGACATACATCAGGAATTATACTTTTAAGTAAGAATTTTTTTCCCCTCAGGGTGGGGGTGTGGGGGGGGGGGTTGTTTCCTTGCTTGTCGGTAACTTCAGAGTCAAATCTATAATCTAAGGATTGAGATAGGATTATTACTTCAGAATGGCATTGAACAGGTTTAGATGTCCACATTCACCAGAATTTTAATGTCCAGGTTGCCAAGCGATGGATTTAAATTTTAGTTCCTTGAGTCCCATATTCCATTTCAACTTTGATTCTTTGCATTGAACTACTTAGTTTTTGCTTTGTGACAAATCTGAAAAGTTGTTGGTTACATTTTGTGAACAAAAGCAAGAAACTCTTGGGTGAGTGATGGCTTTAGTTCGCGTTTCTATCCTCTTTTGGCATAACAAATTGTTCGATCTTGAAAAGCGGTTCAAGAACTATGCTGCCTTCGAGCCATGAAAATAAATGTTTAAAAATCTGGTTATACTTGCAATTAAGCAAAATGCCTATGAAACTAAATAACAACTCAGAAAAGACTATGTTCTGTCAATCTCTGATGGTTAGTTTACCTATCTCAGTTTGATTATATAATTCAGTGCATTATTTGATAATCAAGATGCTTCAACAGCAGATCTTATATTTCTTGTTTTCACAAGACAAAAGTTACTTATCCTCTTTGCTACAGGCATAGGCAACACTCTCGAAAACAAAGAGAGCGACGAAGAAAGGATCAAGCTTCCGAGAAACCAAAAGGAGATTCTGCTTCTTCTAAAGAGGTTACATGTCCAAATTCACTCTATAATTTTCTTTTTCGATATTTTCTGGTGGAAAATTTTCTTAGTTTGTACCTCCACCAGCTGACTATATGTGACTTAAGAGATTTAGAGGATCTGTTAAGTGTTAAATCTTGTGCCAATGCAGATTTGAAAAATTTTCAGGTCTAAAATGAGGCAAATAGATGTTTTCTTTGATTTGTTTGCTAGAGTTATTTGCACTACAGGTGGTTAATGCAAACAATTCTTACGGAACCAAACTCAGATTGAAGATGGTGTAACATAGATATATAATGTTATTTTCAGCAGCCAGAAAACGTTGTAGAGCCGATTGCCAAAAGCCAAGAGCCAAGAAGCAGTACAACTAGTACATCCTCTAGCACGAAGCCAATCCGAGAAGAGAGTTCACCTCCTTTACCCTTCCTGCTTGAATCACCTCCCCAGAAGCTGTCCCCAAGAAGTGAAGCCCATCCAAATGCTACGAAGAACATAAAGAACCTACCTCCATTACCCAATGCCAAAAGAAGCACCATCAACTGCAATGGCACGAACGAAAACATGTACAGATTGAATCAGGTCCAAAGATCTGTCTCCACGAGAGAATTCCGAAAAGTTCATCAAAGAAAGCTTCATAAGCTACCTGATCTGGATGATTAGTCCATGAGAAAATGACTATCTATATAAACAAGAGTTTTCTTCCTTCCAAGTAGTTGGTTGTTGTATGATTATGATTTTGTTCACCATAATTTCTCTCCATTAATTAAAATTAATATTGTGAGTCTCCCATTGAAGAAATCATTTGTAACAGATTTCCATTATTGGTAGTTGAGATTATTTGATTTGTGTGTTGTTTCAAGGGGAAAAAAATATAAAGGGCATTATCAAATCTCCTATTCCTAAATGGTTTCTTTTGGATATCTTGGGGGTGTATGATATTGCTTCTTTTTGAGATTTCAAGCCATGTGTAGCAACAATTTTAGTAAATAATTGCCTTTTCAATTAGCCATTGGACAGGGGCAGTAGAGACTTTGACTTTCTCCAATTAAGGGATTATTTATCTAATATCACAGCTAGCAAGTTGATTTCTCAACATATAAAAACACAACAATGGTCAACATTGATTCAATTTACTTTGATGCAATGGTTCAAAATTCATCTCCAAATTTATTTCCTGCTAGAAAACATCATCTTCTCTTCATGGCCACTAATGCTCGACAACTCAACCAACCTACCTCTCTCTTATTTTCTCACTATTTACTTGAATTTGAAATTGTGTAATTAAAAATAAAAATAAAGTATAAAAATTGCAAGATCAAAGTTTGATTTTGGGTATTGCAGAGTGTCTCTAGACATGGGGTTATTGCTGGTTGTCCTCTATTCCAAATCAAGTGCACAACCATAAGGGAAAAGCAGTCCTTTCAAATTCAAGTGTTCTGCTCAGAATTCCCTACTGGTTCAATCATGGCAGCTCCTTAGTGGCTGCCTTGCCTAGCTCTGGTTGGGAGAGATGCAGAATTTAGTGCAAGTCCCCTGTTTCTTTGTTCTAGTTTTTCACTCATAGTTTTGGAGAAACTTAAGTTCAATCTGTCTGCAGTTACTCTCAATATCACCTCCCACAGATTTGATTGTTTTTTTTACCTTTTGGTTTTTTATCACTAGTAAAGTTTCACAGCAGGGGTTTAAATCTCTTGTAAATCATGGACTATACAGTTGATACTGATCATCAGTGAAATTCTTAACTTCCTGGCAACTTTGAGCTTTCTGACACTGTCAAAACCACTGGCTATAACACGCGGATAGCTCCAGACTTTTGGGAGTAAGTCTGGGGAACCGTAAACTCAGATGTCCTGTTTTAACTCTCGCCGGTGACTTTCAAGTTTAACTAATAATTGTAGTTAGCGAATGATTACAGATATATCTAGAGTTTACTTTTGACAGAGGTNTAAGTCTGGGGAACCGTAAACTCAGATGTCCTGTTTTAACTCTCGCCTGTGACTTTCAAGTTTAACTACTAATTGTAGTTAGCGAATGATTACAGATATATCTAGAGTTTACTTTTGACAGAGGTGGGTGTAGGTTTGATGTATTTTTGGCTTGGAGCATCAAAGCAAAAAAAAAAAAAAACTGCCTTTAGCCTCAATGTATGAACAGTTTAGTTTGTCACCATACCTAAGTTTTTGGAATTCATAACTATTATCCTGTAAAACAGAAGTATAAGATTGAAAACTCTCTCTCTTTTTTCTTTTCTGTAAAAACCAAATTACACCTTGGAGACTTATACTTATAATGCATAGCATCCATGTTCCCATGCAATACACACAATCAAATACTAGTACACCCTTGATCACCCCTCTTATTAGGGTGAAATTTACTAACAAATAGCGGGTCTTACTTGAATTCGTGACAAATAATCTACCGTTACGGGAAACTGAGAGAATGTATTGAATGAGATCTCTCTCGGTTCTTTATGGCTCACACAGTCAAAGACCATACCGTATATCGCTCAACTTGCTCTTCATCCACTTGAAACTCTCCCTCACAGTTGATTTCAGCTTACCCTCCGTAGTAAACATGTTATATGCTGCGATTCTCTTCTTCCTCTTGAGCTCTGGATCACTAGATGTTGCAAACCCTTCACCTGCCTTATTGCTCGGACCGTTGAAGCTGTAGGAGTTTGATCCGTCTCGGAACTCGAACTCGCCGGAGTAAGAGGACGAGTACTGAGGAAATGACCGGCTCTTCTCCATGATCAACCTTGATTCCGATATGGGTACTTACTCTTTATGGCCATCACTTATTTATAAGAAAGAAAAGTATAAGAACAGGCAATTCTATGAATATAAAATGGTGGGTGAGGCCCATGGGTGATGTTATAGAAATAAGCTTTTATTGCTCACGCTGGGAATCATGAGACCCGGTGGTTGTGGTTGTGGTGGTGGTAGTGGTAGTGGTGGTGTGGTGGGGACTACTTGTGTTCGATGCTATAGGAGATGGCTCCAATGGCTTCACATGGTGGTGGGACACCACCAATGGAGGTGGTGGGGGCCCTAACTGGCTATTTTGTCTTCAGAAGGTTAAGCATATACATATATCTTTTAGTCGAGAGGAAAATATTCAATCTTAATATAATATATTATGTCCTAAAAATCATCTNTAGTACACCCTTGATCACCCCTCTTATTAGGGTGAAATTTACTAACAAATAGCGGGTCTTACTTGAATTCGTGACAAATAATCTACCGTTACGGGAAACTGAGAGAATGTATTGAATGAGATCTCTCTCGGTTCTTTATGGCTCACACAGTCAAAGACCATACCGTATATCGCTCAACTTGCTCTTCATCCACTTGAAACTCTCCCTCACAGTTGATTTCAGCTTACCCTCCGTAGTAAACATGTTATATGCTGCAATTCTCTTCTTCCTCTTGAGCTCTGGATCACTAGATGTTGCAAACCCTTCACCTGCCTTATTGCTCGGACCGTTGAAGCTGTAGGAGTTTGATCCGTCTCGGAACTCGAACTCGCCGGAGTAAGAGGACGAGTACTGAGGAAATGACCGGCTCTTCTCCATGATCAACCTTGATTCCGATATGGGTACTTACTCTTTATGGCCATCACTTATTTATAAGAAAGAAAAGTATAAGAACAGGCAATTCTATGAATATAAAATGGTGGGTGAGGCCCATGGGTGATGTTATAGAAATAAGCTTTTATTGCTCACGCTGGGAATCATGAGACCCGGTGGTTGTGGTTGTGGTGGTGGTAGTGGTAGTGGTGGTGTGGTGGGGACTACTTGTGTTCGATGCTATAGGAGATGGCTCCAATGGCTTCACATGGTGGTGGGACACCACCAATGGAGGTGGTGGGGGCCCTAACTGGCTATTTTGTCTTCAGAAGGTTAAGCATATACATATATCTTTTAGTCGAGAGGAAAATATTCAATCTTAATATAATATATTATGTCCTAAAAATCATCTCAATCACGTATTTTTAACTCGTGTTTGCTAAAAAAATCTCACGAATACATATAATTACCTACAAATTATATACATCAATTAAATCCAAATTACATGAAATCAAGAGAACTCGTGCTTAAAATGTTCAAATTTAGGACCCGCTTCTTATTTGGTGACTGAATCAATCCTGAGTTATTTCCATGTAAGATTTAGTATAGTTGGTTTGTTGCAAATTTCTAGTAGCTAGGCTGGCCAATCTTAGCTTTATGGAAAGCAGTAGGGTCATGCTTTATCCTATATTGGCGGCTTTGTAGGGTGCTGTGGGGTCTGTTATCTAGAGGATTCCACTATGTAATCCTTTCAGTAGTGCTTTTACATGTAGATATATGATGGAGAGTTTGGGTGAAAGAAGTTCGTTTGGGTGGATCTCATGCATGAACCTTTTGTTTTTGCCTTAGGTACAAGTTCTACTCTCTGTCTGTCAAAAATGGTAAATCTTCATTCAAATGGTGTTTTTAATCTGGTGGCCACCGAGTGATGTATTGACCGAACTTCACACGCTGAAATTGAAGATTTATGTCTTAGAGTCAACATTGAAACTCGGTGATTGATTACTATATTATCTTAGTTAGGTTCGTTCTCAAAAAAGAGTCATGGATGTAATTAAGAGTCTTATAATTCCACCAGTGAAGACTTATCGGCATAATCTTTAGATGTTATCCTTTGCTCCCACCCTTTTTTTCACTTAGCACAAAAACCTGGCGGCAAAAGTGTGACTTCTAATGAGTGAATGTCAAAATTCTGACCAAGAGACTTAAGTCTAGGGCTGTTAAACGAGCGTTTGAACATTTTTTTAGGCTCGTGTATGTGGAAATAGTCAATCAAGCCAGCTTGTTTATGTATAAATAGTCGAACTATTTGGCTTAAATTCAACTCGATTATCACCCTTACCTGGTCCCCATGTCCACTCTCATTGAAATACAAAGTGGGTAGTTTATTGTTGAGAGAATTGGAAAATTATAATAGTGAGTAACATTTAAATTCATGCTAATGATTTACCCTAAGAAAAATGTACCAAAAAAAAAAAAAAAATCCAAATCCCGAAAACTTTATCCAATCACCCCATCACTTAACAATTTGAAAATGGGGTAGGCCTTCGATTCCTCTTCATGTTTTACTTGTTATCTCAGAGTTTCACTTGCACGTAAATCAAATGTACTTTTCACTGTTCAAATATACTTAAATAGTAAAAAAAAATATAAATACTTAAGTTATACTCTTTTTAACATTTTAATCTTTTTTANCTGTTCAAATATACTTAAATAGTAAAAAAAAATATAAATACTTAAGTTATACTCTTTTTAACATTTTAATCTTTTTTAAAATAGGTGATTGTTTAACATATAAATATTTAAATGTACATTTCAATCTCTTCGCTACCTTAATAATTAATTTTTTTTACATTCTAGGCTCAAATTATAAGTTGCATGTGAGGTGGTGCCGATTTGAAGTATAAATACTTGAGTCACTACAAGAAAAAAGGGTTTTTACGACAGTAAAGTGCTGTCATAAAAAATCTATTTGTCATCACAAATACTTTTTGTGGCGGCATTACCTCGTCATAATAAATGTGGTCTCAAAAAATTTTTATGGGAGCAACGGTCTATCTCAAATAATATTTACGACGGCAAGGTCCTGTCATAAATAAGTTGTCACAAAAAATTTGACATTTTTGTTTTTATCATGGCGTCAAAATTGTTATCTCAAATATTATATTTGGCTATCATAAAAAATAGAATATATATTTATGACAGCAACGATGCTGCCACAAAAAAAAAATTTAATTATTATGGATCGTTCATAACTAATATTATATACCCTGTGCATATATTTTTTTGGTGGGAGAGGTAGGGAAGGAGACTTGAACCCTTGACCTCAAAAAAACAAATCTTTCACAATTTAAAGTGTACCATTAGACCAAAGACTCATTTGTATCTATACAACTACCCAATTTAATATATAGATAAATACAAAAATAAATATAATTAACATTTCCAAAAACATAGCAATATTTTCATATCCAAAAAAAACAATCTCACGAGTTAAACTAAATGTAAAATATATATATTTATAAAACAAAACAATCTATGAGTACAAGAAATTAATGCAAAAAATTGAACATCCTTCCCGAACCATCTATTCTCTCAATGACATCTAAAAAATATATAAAATTATTATTACAATATTGAAATAATATTTATATACATATATATAATAAAGAACTAAAAGAAGTTAGAATTTACATGAAAAGAGGGCCACATAATATTTCTATGAACGACTTGTCCAATTATGTAAAATGATATAAAAAGGAGTTATATCGTGTACATTTCTTCTAATTGGTTTAACAAATACCTGATTCGTTTATAATCGTATCGTGACGGCTCCACTTGTTTTCTAAACAGGTGGCTTAAAGAAGACTTAAACCCACTAATTTTATACCTTGTTAACGGATCATGTCATATTTTGACACCCCTAAATTTGATATAAAAACTTGATTTTGTAGAGTTTAATTTTTTTTTCTTTGAATTAGAAATTGTATTTTGATATTAAACTACGTAATTTTATAAAATATTACTTGTAACATGAAAAGTAGTTGTGGCCAATACAAATTTTTTTTAGAGTTTTTCCTTTTTAAAATATAAAATATTTTTTAATCTAAAATAATATTTTAATGTTTTATAAAATATTATATACGACAAGAAAAGTAGCTGCTATAAATAAAATTTTTTTTTTTAATTTATGAAATATTATTTGAGACAAAAAAAACAGATGTCTTAAATACAAAAATTTCTTTTGAGTTTATGACACTATTTACGACAAAAAAAATAGTTGTCACAAATATTAACACAAACATGCTTTTAGTGACGGCAAACACAGTTGCCGTAAAAAATTTGTCACAAAAGACCCTTATTCTTGTAGTGAGTTATGCTATTTCTAACTACTTAAACTTTTAGAGTAGATACTTTTTTTTTTTTTTTTGAGCAAAAGAGTAGATACTTGTTTGCCACTCATAACATAAGCTTAGTCTTGACAAACTCCTCAATGTTCAAATTAAAATTGTCAATCACTTGTGTCATTTTGAGTTCATATTGTATTTAAATTGTGTCTTGTTAACATTTATTTAATTCATAACTAACCCATATGTCATCATCTATAATTGAGTTTGTGTCATAAATCAACCAATTTTAGTGGGCTAACAAAGTTGTTTAATCGAGTTTGTGACGATCTATATATTTCAGTGGTCTAACAGATTTACACATTTATCATTCCGAACATTTCGTCGATCTTATATAAAATTGTCAGTCCTAAGTCCAAACCATCACATTTTCTCCCGAAATGAATATGATGAACTTTAATTAGTTGGGTGAGTTGATGAACTGTTCTTATCTTTACATTTTGAAAAGGTAGTAATTGAAATTGGAACTATGATTCGGCTACTTTAGTATAAAGGTGTGAGGGTGAGCATTTTAAAAAGACATTTCCATGCAGAAAAGTGAAGCCAAATGAAAACAATAATTCTTAGCATGGCCCAGTTTTTCTCAAGTGGCAAACATCCTCAAAACAACGAGTTGAATCTCACTGTGATGAACCCCTACAAACTCTTTTTTGGCCTGCAATAACAAAAAAAAATAAAAATTTAGAGTTCATATAACCCAGATTCACCAATGTGACATCAATTGTTTCCTTCCCTGTATTCTTTTAATTTGATACATGTCTCAGTAGATTACTGTAGTACTTTTCTACTCACGTACCGGATTAATAGTGGATCTTGTGCAAAACCACCTCTCTATACAAGGGGATAAATCTATAGACGGTGGCCCCAAAGAGCTACGATCCGTGAGATATTCGAATCCCGGACCTACTCTTTATGAAAAATTTATCAAGTGGCTGAGTTATCACTAAACTAACCTCTTGGGATTTTCCTTCTCTATATTCATTACAATGGGAGCATAATGTTTGGCCAGTTTAGGGAATCTGATTTGTATCCCACCTTCCAATGAAATGTAAAGACTTATTGCATCTTTTCATGAACTTGAAAACGACCTTTTATCTTTGAAGGGATAAGAGTTTGACACAACAAAGCAAAGTAATTTTCAACATCATTCTTTTTTCCTCTTGGACTATTTAGAAAGTGATACGTGCAATTTTTTTTATATTATATCATTTTTATGGTGACAGCTATAAATATCATTCGAATATTGAAAAATAAAATGTGAACTCCATAGATTATTCATATGTAAATGTTTGATAAACGTATTCTACTTTCCACGTCTTTTAGACAAATTTAAACGGTTGCCAATTATCTAGAAGAAAAAAAAAGTTTAAATGGGTGCTAAACAATCGCAAATGATGATTAATATTGTAGTGTGTATTTAGACACGTGGTAATTGCTAATTTTTTTAATAAAAAAGAAAAATTTTGGGCAGATCTAACTGCCTAATCCTACAAAACAATCATATGTCTCAAGCTAGGCTACGATGGAATACCCATTACCTGCATTCAGCACGGCCCACCAAACTCGGGACAGCCGTGCCCCAGCCCAAATTGTATAAAG